CCCCCCGCAGAAATCTCACCAGTGTATCAGATTGTGCATAAATTCTCCAAGACTAGATTTCATGCCGTACGACACGGTTCTCTTGTCCCTAGCTGCTTTGGATGCCATTGAGGAGTCTCTGACTCTACCAGCAATATTAAGCCCTCAGGTATCATATTTACTTCATTTACTGCTGTTCATGGGCTACCTCAGTGATTCACCTGCTCATCAGAACAATGCTCAAGAGCTTATAGCCCTACAGAGCATACACTCAACCGCACATATCCGACGATAACGCTTACGGTGGCATGTAGTCGCTGAAACCTAAGCACCTGAAATCATTTAGAGGTTTGCTGATGCTGAACAGCTGCGGATTAAAGCCTTGTCCAAGCATACGGATATGAAATCACTGGAACAATGTTCAGCAGCTAGCACACAATGAAGGAAAGAGTAGGCAGATATGCGGATGTTCGTCTATCGTTTCGACCTGATCCAGCTGACGTACAACCAAAACGAGTTGGTTTGTCATCTTTGAAAATTCCGTACCAGAAGGCAGCAACGTAGAGAAACCTCGTTGGGGAGGGGGTGGGGAGTGACACCTAAGGTAACCTGAGCACCTTAGCACTGAGGGACGAATCAGAAAGCGGCCTAAATGCATCCCATTGACTGCTAATTCACTTGAACAAGTAATTCAAGTCAAAATGCTGCAAGGCAACCAACGGTAAAATTGGAGCAAGTCGATGGCCTGACAGCAACGTTGACATGATGATGTTCGGGTACGGTGAAGAGAGTGCTCGTGTGCCTTCTGAAAAGATTCTCTCGTGTGTTCCCTTAGTCTGAAGTTCGGCTTGACTTACCGACGATGGTCGTTGCCCATCGTCAGCAATAGAGAGAGTGAGGTTGGACTGTGGTAAGCTTTGCAGTGATTGACAGTCATCCTTTAGTACGAGATGAAGACGCGTTAGTTACTCACGGCGCAGAATCGTGGGTTTACTTGATACTAGGCCATTAAAGAGGTTTCGACTCCTTGCAAGCTAGCTGTTATAGAAGATGACACCAGTGCCAATCAGTGACCACAGCACTGCCTTGGAAATGAGTGCAATATCTAGCGGCTACATCAGTAGAGGTTAATCAATCGCTGGGACTACAATTTTACGCTGAGTGTAATTTCGCTGTTTTTATGCCGAGTTTTAAAGTTGAGCAAGCATATTTGCATATGCGATGGTGCAAGATTCCTTCAGAGACAGGTTTCACGATATACTGCACCTCCTCCGAGCTTCTAGTTACATGTAGAAGACAGGAAATGTGGCTGTGACTTCATGGTACTTAAGAAATCGTGGAGCCAAATGCATTTCGCACGTATCGCGTCAGTTGGTCCACTTGAGCTACTGGCGTTAACACAAATGACGATTCAATAGCTGAGTACTCATTATGTGAAACCGCATAAATATCAAAATATGTTCAGACTCTGAAACTTGTTTAAATGAATGAGGATCAATCCTTCAAGACCATGTTTCCATGCATTTGTTAAATACCTGCCTGCATGAGAACCTAACAGTAACTAAAAGCACTGATGGAATACAAGAAGGTCTGTAAATAACAGCTGTGAATGAAGGAAAGGAACATCTTCAAGTAAAGGAAAGGAAAGATGCTAAATTTTCAAACAGATGAAGAATTGCTTAGATGGTCATTCAGTTGAACCCCATAGAAACCTTGCTTGAACGTGTGAAACAATTTATACACGTGACACACCTGATTAGAAAGATGTACTCTCTAAGGTACAACAATATGCAAGTTTAAATCATCCGTCGTCGATTATGCACATTTTCAGCTGTTTGGAACCTTTCATTGTACTCTATTCGCGAGCTTATATGATACCCTCCAGGTCTGATAGATGTACCATCCGCAGATGAACTCAGAATCACGTGACGTTTACGTTTACGTTTACATAAGAAGGTGAGTGTTGAAATAGTACTTTTAGCAACCGGAGGGGAAGAATGACGATTGGAGGCAACGTGTTGTCTAGGTTGAACTAGGGAGCAGACATTAAAGTGGCGGAGCGAGAAAACTTTCGGTACGATTATGATTATGGAATCAAAACATCGACTACCCTGGATTATTGTTTCTATAATTTACAGCATGATGCTATAAAAATCGCGCATTTTTTCTTGAAGATCGCGTCGAAGGCGAGGTCTCCACGAAAGTGAGCGATTCGACTTAAGAAATGCAAGTATTAGACGAAAGCACCGATGGGTGGATAGAAGATTCAAAGAATTTCGTCCCAGTCATTAAGAGTGACAGACTTCCGCGGATGATCGATTGAGAGCAACGGCTGAAAGCGGCCACATCGAGCGACAGCCGGCACCACACCGAAGACGAATATATTTTGAGGCCAGTAAGAAATGGACAGTTTTTGTCGGCTTCCTGATGAGCGGTGCGGCGCGAGGAGTGGTCTTGACTCGTTACGCGGAAGTGCCGTTAAGTGGCAATGAGGCGAGCCATTGCTGGTTCACCTCCTTCAGTTCTGGGGTCGAGAAGACATCGAGTTTTGTTGAAATCAGTGCTGGGCAGAGATCTGCATATGAGGTGCATGGGTGGTGTGAGTTGACAAAATAGAAGCGAGTCAAATAGGTTATTTTTGACGTTTTGGCGCATGCTCTTGACAACCTCTACTAGCAAGAGTGGGCGCTGCTCTGTAAACAAAGGTGCTGCCAGTTTACAAGTAGTTAGTCTTCGATGGTGCCCGCCAAAGAATTGCTGTCTGCGAATAATTTCCAGACGGGAACACGTTGGTAGTATTGCATAGGTAGGTCGTCATAGTTGCGGTCCGACATGATTTCTGCCTTAGCAGACGTCCTCTTTGAAAAGCGACGAGGAGGGAAAAACAACTTATGTTCACGTGCCATGCGCCAAGCCGATTGTTCCCTAAAGCACATGATGAGCAACTACCTCATCTTCCCTCATGAAATGCTTCAGTCCTGTAAATGAAGTCTTCCCCGGCTGCTGGCCCCGCTTGCATTGTCTCGGTTGCGTCTACTTCGATGCTTAAAGGATGAAAACAACCGGGGTTTAGCGGATATCTTTAATCCGACGGCATCTGCGGCGACATTTGTTGAAGATCACGCAGACAGGCGCGCGACTTCGGCTTCGCTTTTTATCAACCAATTTCACAGCATAAACAGGCACCGGAATGCGGTTCACTAATGACAGAACAACCGTCATAACTTAGTGCTTTTCGTATTTATTGTTTACTGTGTTGTACGGTACCATGCTGGGCTGCAAACTGGGGATAAAACCATACCTCACACATACGAGGGAGACACAGATGTTTAATTTATAATCACTGCTGTCAGTCGTGTCCTCCACAATCCATGCTCTGGGTATTTGTCGCGAAAAAATGGCTAAGCGCAAAGCAAGGGATCGAATGACAGGTCCAAATTACGGTCGAATGCATGCTCCTGAACTACGGTCGTCATGAAGGCCAGTAACGATTTCCGGAGAGATCGGTTGGAGGGAACGGCGAGGTCTTTATGCTATCTAGAACAATTTTAGAAGGCCTAGAAGAATGGCATTCTGATTCGAAAGCAAAGAGGAAAATTGGAATACTGTCCGTATTATTCGCTGATGATTAGGGTCAACCGTGATCCGCCAGAATTCATGTAGCGTTTTGTTTAATGCTCTATGACCAGAAATCAGTTCAGAAAATGATGAAATACTGATGAATATATATGTGCATGTTTTGTTTTGATGAGTATGTTTTTGTGACCGAAATAATAAATGAAATTAATAAAAAATTTTGGCATCAACCTTCGACATGTGTCCAAAACCTGAGTCGAAAAGTCGAAATAAAACAAAATAAATAATAATCAGGATCAAAATAAACTTTCGGAGTTATTGATTCACTTTCTTTTCTCCTGCAAATGAAACAGAAAAACAGAAACTGATAAGAGATTCTATCAAATGGCTGGAAATACTCCATGCGGTAGCCAAAATGATGAACAAGAAACTTTCCTTTCAAGACGTATGAGTCAAAGCATGATTCGGGGCGGGGGGTCATTAAGAATATCGTGAATGAATGCCCCAAAATTTAGTGCTATGACCACACCAAGCACAATGCTGTCCCCATTAATTGCAAGTCAATCACTTGTTGTTCTTTTCCGGCTAATTGTAATGATGCACATGTGGCGGATTCCTTGCTCAAGGGAATTAGCAGTTAGTAAAAGAAAATTTGCACCTGGTTTTGCGTTTGAACCAGCACTCTAATCTGCAAAACGGCATTCTAATCTACCAGCTGTGGCGCTACCTCCTCCTTAACTCATTTGTCACTCAGAATTTCACATTCGTCCATGTAAAAAGTAAAAAGTAAAATCGTTTGATGCCGAACCGGTATAGGTCTCTGCGAGATTGACGAAATTCATTCACGTCTTCTACTATTATCTTTCCTCGGTCTTTTTCTTATGCCTTTGCATCGAAGAAGTCACCTGATGCATTTCATCTAAATTAAACAAATGCGTGCTCATTCTTCTGTCCTTGCGAGGCCCCGACACTTCCAACGACATCTGGTTATCTTGATGGAGATCTTCTTAGCAGCCGACTGCCTTCAGAGATTGAACAACTTGTTGGTCACTGCTGATACCAACCCCAAGCGCCTCTGACCTTAGACTGTCACTCATCCGTCTGAGGCCAATGCACTGCCAGGGAAATAAACGACGTTCTGATAACTTTTCACAACTTTGCTGTCAAGAGTCAGATGGTGGGTCAAATTAGTGAAATTTATACGAATGGCACAAGAGGTGGAAAAT